CAGGGCAGTGATCCTCCTGCTTTTGCCTCAACCTCCCCAGTGCTGGGATTACACGTGTGTGCCACCACGCCTGGTATGTTGTTGTTTTTTTGAAACAGGGTATCACTATGTAGCCTAGGCTGGCCTTGAACTTGCTATAATCCCCCTGCCTCAGCCTCTTGAGTATTGGGATCACAGGCATGTGCCATCATATCCACCTGTGAATCCAGGGCTTTTGCACTGGACTATATCCATCCTCAGCCCTTTTTTCAGTTTTTATTTTGTGGCAGGTTCTTGATAAGTCCCCAGATTGTCCACTCTGATCTTGAACTGGTGATCCTCCAATCTCAGCCTGGGATTAAAGTCCTGGAATTATAGATTGGGCTATTATCTCTGGTTTTCATCAGATTTTATGAGCAAAAGCAAACTAGTGAAGAGTTTTAAACTGAATCCTTCTCATGTATTATCTCATTTAAAGTAATTACTACTACACATAAAATATCCTAGGTACTAGGTCAATGAGATCTATTATTTCCTCTTTGTGTGTGTCATCACTTGGACGGAAACATTCTGACTAGGCTCTCAGATCTTTTTTCTCTTCATGGTGTTAGGGACTGAACCTAGGGTCTTACACATGCTAACAAGTACTCTACCACTGAGCCCCATGCCCAACTCTTGTTTTTGAGATAGGGTCTTGCTAACTGGCCCAGGCTGGACTTGACCTTGCAATCCTCCTGCCTCAGCCTCCTGAGTAGCTGGGATTATAGGTATGTGCCAGTTGTACCCTACTTTGCCTAGGGCAAAGTGAAGGGCACAAAGTAGGTTATTCATAAAAACTTGTTCACTGTATGTGTAATTCAGGCTTTTCCAGGGCTGTGATCAATAGATATGAAGCTGCATCTCTTATATTTTATACTTCTGAGTGGTTTTGTAGAATTGGGGTTGAGAATTGTGACCTGAGGCATCAAGGTAAGTGTGAATGATACTGTACATTTCTAAATGCTCAATTTATGAAGCTGAGATCATGTATAGATATGATTTATGACCTTCTCCAAGGTCTACAAATTCTACAAAATTTTTAAAATTTTGTTTTCATTTCTGTGGCTAACTAAAAAAAAAAAGTCCTTGTACAGGTTATAAAGATAAATGTTTAGGGGGGCTGGGGTATAGCTCAGTGGCATAAGCGCCTGCTTGGCAAGTGTAAGGTCATGAGTTCAATCCCTGGTACTGCAAAAAAAAAAAAAAAAAAAGATAAATGTTTAGTAATTTGCAACCAAAAGACATTTTCCTTAGACTAAAGCTTTAGTTTTTAGAGTAAGGAATTCTCAAACTGGAGCTCCCTGAGCTTAGGAATCTACAGTACTGGGAAACTGCCAGTGTAGGACGCTTGCCATGCATGCCGAGGTCCTGGGCTCAACCCCCACTGCCCCTCCAAAAGAATTTGTGATTTTTTAAAAGTCTAATATATTTTACTCAGTATTTAACTTTTGGCTTACTACATTTTAGAGAACAATTTTAGTAAAGTTTTGAAGCAGTAAAAGCTTAATAATTTAAGGAACCAAATGTCCCACTTCATGCTCATTCAGGCTAATGCTAATCTATACTGTACTTAGAGCAGTGTTTTACAACTAAAACCCACCTTTCCTGCCTTGGACTTGGGCTACTTCAGAATGTCTAGCATCCTGCACAAGTTCAATGATGACCGCACCACACCACAGCAGGCACAATTCCACCCCTTACAGGTAGGAAAGGGAGCAGTTCTGACCAGGGGCGGTGGCCCTGTAGGGAAGTGGGAAACTTTCTGATCGTTAAAATGATGGAATAGAGGGGAAAAGGCATGTGCACTACCATTTGTTAGGGGTGAAAAGATGTCTAAGTGCTCATTAGCCTCAATGCTGATGAATTCCGTATACTGAATTATGAAGAATTGTCCCATGTCACAAATGATTTTTTAGTATCTCACCAAACATTTTTTTAAAAAAACAGGGTCTCAGTATGCCATTCAGACTGGCCTTGAGCTCACTTTGTAGCCCAGGCTGGTCTCGAACTCCCAATGACCCTCCTGCCTTAGCTTCCCAAGTGCTGGGATTACAGGCATGCAAAACCACACCTGGCTTGTTTGTTTGTTTGTTTTTTTGGTCTTTTTACCAAACTTTTTAATTATCTAAGCCTCAAACCTAATTCCATTTGCTTTGGTGGTGGCAGCGGCACATTTTCCAGATTCAGTAATTTCCAGGTCATGCAACACTGACAATACTGACTTCTGTAATATTCATCTGTTTTAGCCTACAATTGACCAGTCCTGATTTTGGTGATTATAAATTAGTTTATTTCTCCTGGTTATTACAACTAGAGCATTATGTTGCTTTTTAAAAAGTTCTGAGCCAGGTATGGTGGCTTGTAATCCCAGCATTTGAAAGGCTGAGGCAGAAGGATCACTGCAAGTTTGAGGCCACCCTGGACTACACAGTTCAGGGCCAAGCTGAGCTACATAGTGAGACCTTGTTGTCAAAAAAAAAAAAAAGTCCTATAGGTAGACTGCATCAACTACATTTTAGGGTTAGAAAAGAGCTGTACGTGTGATAGCATTCAGAACTGTTACTCTAAAAAGCATGGTGAAGTAGCCCAGAAAATTGTGGCAGAGAATGTATAATAGCAGGAATCATGGTAAGAATCATAAACCTGGTGAGATGGCCCATTCCTATAATTCCAACTACTTAGGAGGCTGAGGCATTAAGATCCTAAGTTTTGAAGCCAGCCTGCACAACTTAGCAAGGCCTTGCCTCAAAATGAAAAGGGGTGGAGACATACCTCAGTGTTAGAGCATTTGCCTAGCACATATGAAGCCCTAGGTTCCATCCTGGGTACAGGGGGAAAAAAAAAATCACAATAGCAGATCAGTAAAGTCACTGTGGGTTCAAGTACATACACAACATTTTACTACTTTGGTTACTTTGGGAAGACAACTTCTCCAAGCTTCCTTTTCTTCAACTGTAACAATGGGTTTACCTATCTCAGTACTAATGTACTGTGAGTATATAAAAAATGTAATTCATAGGTATCAAGTAGAGCACTCTATTTTGCATCTGTCTATACAATTCATTTGTAGAGTAAACTGACTTGTTAAGGTTAACTCCAGGGGGCTGGCTTTGGTCAGTTCTGAAACTTTTATCACACACATACCACACACTAATCCAAGTGGTCACACTGGTACAGAGGAATGAGCCCTAGGCTTGGGAAATCTTGACTTGAAGTCCTAAATGTTACCAAGTGTGAACCTCTTTAAGCTTCAGCTTCTTAAAACAGGACGAGTGCATACCTTACAGAGTTGCTTTGAGTTCTGCAGGAATTAACAAATACAAGTGCTTTGCCTAGCGCCTGGTAGAGAATAAGTGTTTAGTAAAATGTTGGCCTATGATTGTTCTCTCCTCCGGAATGACAAATGAAAATGATAAAGTACTCCCCAAACTAAAGTCATTTTCATTTACTTAGCATTTATATTATCATATACTGAGCTTTTTGAGGGAGGGGAATGGTACTGGGAATTGAACCTGGGGCCTAGGTTCAATCCCCGACGCAGGAAAAAAAAAAAGAAGAGTGACTGTGACAGCAGGATCACTCAGGTCAGCTACATCCCCAGTACTATTTAAAAATTTGGGACAGGGTCTCATTAAGTTGCTAAATTGCTCTGGCTGACTCAAACTTGTTATCTTTCTGCCTCAGCCTCCCAGAGTGCTGAGATTACAGGCATGTGCTTGACTTATATTTTTTTTTGGGGGGGGGGTACCAGGAATAGTACTTAGGACCTGGAGCTTGCCAGGCAGGTGCTCTGCGGCTGAGCTATATCCCGGGCCCCTTATATAAGTTTTTAATTTGAAGTAATCTTTAAATTACCAGCAAGTGGAAATCTAGTATTATCTGCCACAAAAGAAAGTAATTTTGAAAATAAATACAGTAAAATCAAACATTATTAAATTTTCACAAGACAACTGTCACCTGTGGAAACTTCTCAACTTGATGTTTACTCTCTTTGTTAAAGTGAGAGATGCATAAGTCAACGGTTTAAAAAATTGTTATTTATTTTACTACACAGGAGCACGAATCCAGATAACCCCCAAATCATCTCAAATGCATGTCTCCGCGGATAAATACTGGAAGGAAGCACATGAGGACGAAGTTGGTTCCACCTTAGGAGGGGAAATATAGTAATTACAACTCCTCTAATTTCTAAGGCAGTTTTAGTTTGCAGAGCACTGTGTTTCTTAGCATCTCAGCTGACCACTGGGTGATGTGGAAGAGTGTGGATTATCACATCCACGTGACTGGATGTGGCAAAGACTAATAACCCATAGCAGGCATTTTAGCCTCGTATTAGCAAAGCGTTTTTTTTTTCCGCCTTTAAGTACTTCCCAGGTCTCGGGCCCCAAGCTAAGGGTTTTACAGACATCATCTAGTTCAACTCCATGCCTGTTCTGTGGCGTGGGCACTGTTACCATCCCCTATAGAAGACAAAAGTGAAACCGAGGCAGCAGCCGAGGTCAACCAGCCAGCAAGGGCGAGGAGATCTCGGCTGACAAAAGCCCTGCGCTTTACTGCCCAGGGCTACAGGGGTGAGGCCGGCCAGGTGGGGAAGGGCGCTGACCTGTCAGATACTTGTTCCTGGGTGAGCTTCTTGTCGCTCTGCAACAGTATGGACACGTAGTGGCGGATCATGCCTACGAAGAAAGTGATGATCACGATGGGAAGGACTACCCAGAGGCGGATGTTGGAGTCCAGCAACAGCTCTGGCCCCGCCATCTTCGCTGAGAGACGACTGCCCGCCGCGGAGAGTGCGGTTTCCCTCCGAATCCGCTCCGGGGCCTTCTCCCGCCGCTCAGGCTGGCGGGCCGGGACACCACAGCAGCCTAGATCCTGATGGACGCGCTTCCAGCTGGGCTGCCGGGCGCCGACTTCCGGCGCGCGGGCGTGACGTCACGCGCACGCTCGGAGTCACAACAGCGTCTGTTGGGCGGGAAAGTCTAAACCGAGGGGTGGGACGGCTTCTAGAGGTGAGCGGAGCGGCGGTCTCGGTGACTCGAAGCTTCGCTCCCTGCGGTCTCCAGGCTCAGGCGGAGGACGGCCTTTACCTCCGGGGCTCTGGGCCCCAGACTTCGACTTCTTTATCTGCCTATCCCCCACGTACCTTCTTGTGTTGTTAAGAAGACGAACCGAGGCGGGTTTTAGCCGGGCGGCTGAAGTGAGAGGATCAAGTTCGAGGCCAGCTTTGGTGATTTGGTAATTTAGCGGCCTAGCTAGACCGTCTCAACATAGAAAGTAAAATGGTGCACGGTGGGGGTGGGGGGCGCTGGCTCTGGGTTCAGTCCTCAGTAGAAAGAAAGGAGAGGGGAGAGGGAGGGAGCTCAGAACCTGGGTCGGCTGGTCCGGATAACTGACCTCATCTTCTAGGCACATCGGCTGGTGTTGTGGGGTTCGCCTGCAGTCCCAGCATTTGGGCTCCTGAGGCCAGAGAACCTCTGCAACTTCAAGGCCGGTCTGCGTTACATAGTGAAACTCCGTCTTAACAATAATTTTTAGCCGGGGATATATTTTGTTGTTGTTGTTGTTGTTTTGTTGTTAAAAAAAAAAAAAAAGCAAGATGGAGTCACGTGTTGGGCGTGTGTGTACCCAAGGTAGACGATTCTGAGTTGTCTTTTTCCATCTACTTTTTCCATCTGCAAAATGGCGGACAGTGGTTATACGTATTAAAGGAGGCACGGTGCTCGGTACATTGTAACGTAGCCTGTATGGGACCTGTTACTATAAATGTTGAGCCGAGTTTGTAGGTAGCCTGTAATCCCAGCACCGTGAGGCAAAAGGGTGGCATTTCAAGCCCAAGGTGGGGAACTTCGCTTAGGGAGATCCTGTCTTCAAAAAAAAAGGGCTGAGGATGTTGCTCAGTGTAAAGGCCCGAGGTCAGTGATGACGAACCTTTAAGAGCTTCAGTGATACAAACAGTGTGTTGTAGGGGCAGCATGCCATAAATTCGCCACCACTGCCCTAAGTTCAATTCCCATTAGAGAAAGAAAAGAAAAAGTAAAGTCAGTATTGGTGGCTGTTAAGAGTGCAGGTTCTGGAGCAAACTTTTGCTCTTACAATCCCCTCACTACCACCGATGACAAAAGTAACAGTGGTACCTGCTAAAAATGTTTATGAGAATTACATGTTTGTAGTGAACCTCGTTGGTCTCTCCTTGTACCCCGGAGAGAAAGGGTGGTGGGTATGAGAAAAATAAAGACAAGAGACAAGAGCTGGGGTCGGGTGGTGGTCCATCTCCTGAGCGGAGAGGGGAACTGCCCAAAAGCAGTAGAGCGTTTATTTATACCCTCTAGAGGTTGGTTAATTTCTGCCTTGCTGCCCAGCAACCAGTTAACAAGTTACAAGGGCTTGTTTACTCTGAGGAGCTCCTGTGTTCTTGGGCTGGTTTCATCCTGCACTTGTAACTATTTTCCAGCTTCAACGCTCCCAACAAATGTTCAAAAAATGTTCAGTATATGTTAAGTATAGAGCACTAAAGACAGTTTTTGTGAACTGTCAGTGTTCTACCTGGTCTGCCAGCCATTTCTTTTTATTTTTAAGGGGTATTCTTGCTGTGTAGTTCAAACTAGCCATGAACTCCCTATGTAGCCCAGGCTGGCCTCAATCTTTTTTTTTTTTTGGTAGACGACCTTGATTTTTTTTGTTTTGTTTTTTGTTTTTCTTCCAGTGCCAGGAATTGAACTCACAATGTTGCACTTGCCGGCAGGCACTGTGCTGCTGAGCTAAATCCCCGGCCCAGACCTTGATATTTTTATTTTTATTTTAAAGAAGAAAAAACAAGCTGGGTGTGGTGGCGCATACCTGTAATCCCAGCACTCAGGAGGCTGAGGCAGGAGGATTGGTTTGAGTTCCAGGCCAGCCTGGGCTCCAAAGTGAGCTCAAGGTCAGCCTGAACTGCATAGCAAGACCCTGTCTCAAAAAGACAAAAAAAAAAAAGAAGAAGAAAAAACAAAAAAACACCAAAGCAGTGTGATGGGAGGGTAACTGTGGTTAATACATTGTGTATTGTTATCTTTATATTAGTTACTCAGAGTACTAGATATCAGCATTGAATTGTCCAGACAGTATTAGCACAGACTTATCTTTTTAGTGAACTGAGAGAAATTAGTAGTATAATATCTTAACTATCTTTTCTATATGTAGTTTTTTCTTTTTCTTTTTCCTTCCTTCTTTTTTCCTATTTCCCTAAATGAGTTTCTCTTTCTTTTGAAGTTTCTTCCCATCTGTTGTACATTTGGATCACATTTACTCTTTCAGCTTCTCACACTAGGGAGACAATACAATGTTTACACACTTACATCTCATTTATTTCACTTATTTAATTTATTTGGCCTCTAGTTGCATTCATATAGCTATAAAAGTCTCCAGTTTATCCTTCCTTATGGCCAAGTAATACTTCATTATATAAAAAGTACACATCTTTTTTATTCATTCCTTGATTGATGGTCATTTGAGTTGTTTCATTGTGCTGTTATGAACATGGGTACACACATATCACTGTGGTATGATGTTTTTAATTCTTTTGGGAAGATACTCAGAATAGTATAGGAAATAGCTGTATCTGGGAATAGCTGGGTCAAATGGGACCTCCAATCCAAGTTTTTTGAAGAATATCCACAGTGATTGTACCAGTCTCCACTCTCACCAACAGTGGACAAGAGTTCTTTTTTCCCCACAGTCCCTCCAGCATTTGTTATTGGTTGACTTCTTGATAATAGCTAGCCTCAATCTTATAGCAGTCCTCCTGCTTCAGCCTCCAAGTGCTGGGATTATAGGCATGTGCCACCATGCCTGGTTGCCAGCCATTCTTACTCATTGAATATTGAGGTACCTGGGAGAAGATAGCAAGTTCAAGGCCAGCCTGGGCTATTTAGCAAGACCCTATCTCAAAATTTAAAAAGTAAAAAGGCTGCCTGGTGCTCCAAACAAAAAAAGTTTTTTTTTTTTTCTTTATGCCATGTATTGTGCTGGGCACTGAGAACAGTGATGTAAGTAAGACTGGCTTCTTGTCAAGGAGCTGTACAGTATATGATGTGATGGGCTCTTAGACTCTGGAACAGGGAAGTTGGAGTAACAGACTTCCTTTGTTGGGGATACTGGAGGAACACTTTCCAAAGAAGATGATATTCACTAACTCTTCAAGTGTAGGTAGGAATTTTTGGGCAGCCAAGAACATTTCAGGTGAAAAGAGTGCTTGTACAAAAACAGTGAACCCAGGAAGGTTCTGGTACCAGATAAACTAGAAAGCTGTGTAGTTCAGGCTCGCTCGTTTTGTGCAGTCGTTTCTAACTATGCAGGCTCTCTCCTATTTCAGTGAGTGTCTTCTCACATATGTACTGCTACATTCCTGTTTCAAAACTCAGGTCTCTGTTTATTTTTTTGTTTGTTTGTTTGTTTGTTTTGTTTTTCTTCCGAACTCACGGCCTTGCCCTTGCCAGGCAGGCGCTTTGCTGCTGAGCTAAATCCCCAGCCCCGGGTCGCTGTTTAAAAATGACTTTCTGAAGCTGGGCGTGGTGATGCTCATGTATAATCCCAGCACTTGGAAGGCTGAGGCAGGAGGATCACTGGAAGTTCAAGGCCAGACTGAACTATACAGTAAGACCCAGTCTCAGGAAAAAAGAACTTTCTGTGATGATAAGGAAACTAGACAGTAGAGTCCTTGAGTTGGGAAGGGGATCAAGGTAAGGGGGAAGAAAGGAAAAGGAAGGTAAAGGGATTGAAAATGAACAAGGTATGTTATATGCATGTATCAACTCCCCAAAACATTCTAAAAAACAAAAAAAACTATATTACAAACATCCACTAATTCCAGTGACTTGGGTTGAGGGTGTAGTTCTGTGTTAAGAGTATTTGCTTAGCATGTACAAGGCCTGGGCTCAATCTGTAGTGCCACCAGAATAAAATAAAATAACATAAAATATAAAACTTCCTTAGAAAAAGAGTCTCCAGGGAATTTTGTCTCTCCTTTTCTTTACCAGTTCTACCTCCAGCTAAATTAAATTTCCTTGTAGCCCTGTACTTTTCTATCACTTACCCAATTGTAGTTAGGTATGTTAAGTATTTGTTATAATACGATCCCCGAGAGCAAGATTCATGTCTTTCTTGTTTGCCCCAGCACCTGGCACAGACCTTAGTATAGTATTGAATTAGTTCAAGAAAAGTAGATTGGAATTGTATTATAGTGGGTCTTGAATCCCAGGTGAAGAGCTGTAGGCTTTTTCCTTTAGCAATAGGGCTGTGGTCTGGTGAAAGAGACAACTAGATACATATGCCTTCAAAGAAACGGAGTATTGGCTAAATATAGGTATGGACAGCACTTGAATTTAGATGGCATTAATATAAAAGCTGAAATACTTGTAGAACTTGGAAGGCTGAGGCAGAAAGACTGCTGAAAGTTTCAGGCTGGCCTGTACTACATAGGGAGATTCTGTCTCAAAAAAAAAGAAAAAAGAAAAGAAAACCACCAAAAACCAAAACTCTGGTTTTGTTGTTTTTGGTTTTTGAGACAGGGTCTTGCTATGTATTTCAGGCTGACTTACACTCATTGTGTAGTCCAGTCTGGCCTCAAACTTGTAGCGATCCTCTGCCTCAGCCTCCTGGGTGCTGGGATTACTTTGCCACCATGTCCAGTCAAAAACCTGATTTTGGATAGAGCAGGTTTCCCTCAGCCATAGCTTCAGTGCTTCAGAATTTAGCTTCTAGAAGGTAACTTCAGTGTTCTTGTTTTGCTCTAGGAAGTGATTAAAGCTCAGAAGATTTTGGTCAAAATGGTTTCTAAAAGAAGGCTGTCAAAATTGGAGGATAAACAGGCATCCACAGAAGAGGCCTGTAGTAAGTATCTAGCCGTTTAGTGCTTTAATTTTCTGTACTCTAGGAAATGTGTGAGATGCTTAAAAGAAATGTAAAGTTCATCCTCTTTAAACTGGGAATGTGATGTATAAAGGAAAGGTATGTCAGGGCAAGCACACCACAGGCAGACTGTGTGGACTTCCTGGATGAGAGTGAGGATGGCTACAACCCCAGCAGCTCTGAAAAGAAGGTACTGACATGCTTTTCATTTATCACACACATGACTCATTACTGTAGTTCTGTATTATTTGAAGAATTATTTCTTGCCGTGTGTGGTGGTGCACACCTGTAATCCCAGCACTCTGGAGGCTGAGGCAAGAGGATCGTTGCAAGTTCAAGACCAGCCTGAATTGCATAGTAAGACCCTGTCTCAAAATGACAAAAAAATTTCTTATAGAGTACAGGAATTTAGGTCCTGGTACAGCTGATGTTGCTGAATAGTTAAAATCACTGAGAATGACTAAAATGTTAAGGCCAAAACTCTTAGGAAAGGCTTGATTTAGAAAAGGAAATTCTGAGGCTCTTATTAGTAAAGGCATTATAGAATACAGAGAAATTGATAGAAAATTTGAAGAGGAATAATTGAGGAGGTTGCTAAACATAAATTGATACTTTGGAAGTACTGTTCTACAAAGGGGAGGAGATATTTGAATTCAGGGGGATTTGAATATTTGACTAGAGGAGGACAGAGTGAGTTTGGAGGAACTTGGGTTTTCCTTGCAGGTCGGGAACAGACTGGTCTTCTGGTTCTGCCTAAGCAGCTCTAAGGGAGACAGGGAGTAATTTCTGTTTTATTGTTCAGTGCTTTGTGAGAAGAACAGGAATTAGAAAAAGAAAAAACAGGCCAGGTGTGGCAGTGCACGCCTGTACACTCAAGAGGCTGAGGCAGGAGGCTCTCTGTGGACACATAGTGTGTTCAGAGCCAGCCTGGACTACATAACGAGACACCATCTGAAAAAAAAAAATGGAAAGGAGAAAGCAGAATTACATCATTCAGGGAAAAAGGTAGATTTCGTTTTTGGCTTTAAATCTCTGGGTTTTTTATTCTTCTTCTTATTATTATTATTGTTATTATTATTTGTTACTGGGATTGAACCAGGGCCTTCACACTGTGCTACCTCCCCTGCCCTTTTTTTATTTTTTATTTTCTTACTGAGTCAGTCATGCCCAGGCTGAGCTTGAGTTTGTAGTCCTCCTGCCTCAGGCTTCCAGAGTGATGGGATGTGCCACTACACCCAACTTTTATGGGTTGAAAGCCTTATGATGAAAGCAGTTTAGACTTTGTACTCAAAGACATGATGCAGGAGAATCTGCCACATTCTATTCTTTTCTATTCTGTTCTGTTTTGTTTAGGGACAGGGTGTAGCTGTGTTGTTCAGGCTGGCCTTAAACTCACAGTATGGCCCACGCTGGCCTCAAACTCACAGTGATCCTCCTGCCTCAGCCTCCCAGAGATGGGAATAATAGTGTGTGTACCACCATGCCTGATATATTTTTAATATTTTGATTTAGTAGTTCTGGCATATATATTTTTGCTTGTTTGCCTTTTGGTTTTGGGGGTTTCAGAGGCAGGGTCTTTCTCTGTACTGTAGGCTGGCCTTAAACTGACTGTTGCTCAGGCCGTCTTCCAACTTGAGGTGATCCTTCTGCCTCAGCCTCCTGGGGCTGGGGATTTAGCTCAGCAGCAAAACGCTTACCTGGCAAGTGCAGGGTTGTGAGTTCGATTCCTGGTACCAGAAGAAAAACGAAAAACAACAACAAAAAAACTACTTCCTGAGTGCTGAAATTACAGGTGTGTGCTACCAAACCTGGCTGGAATATGTGTTCTTTTTTTTGTACCGGGAATTGAACTCAGGACCTCACTCTTCCAGGCAGGTGCTGTGCCACTGAGCTACATCCCTCGCCCTATGCATTTGTTTTTGTTTTCCTTATTCTTTTTTTTTCCTTTTTGAGACAGGGTCTCACTGTGTAGTTTAAGCTGGCCTTGAACTCAGTGTGTAGCATAGCTTGGCCTCAAACTTGGAGAATTCTGCCTCAGCCTCCTGAGTGCTGGGATTATAGGTGTGCACTACTATATCCAGCTTTTGAGCTGGAGGTGGTGGTACATGCCTGTAGTCCCAGCACTCGGGAGACTGAGGGAGGAGGATCTTTGCAAGTTTAAGGCCAGCCTAGGTTACAAAGTGAGCTCAAGGACAGCCTGAACTGCAGAGTGAGACCCTATCTCTAAAAGACAAAACAAAACAAAACAAAAACCCAACAAACCAGCTTTTGGAATATGTGAATTTTTTTGTGATTGTGGTGTAGTGGTTTGCAGACAGCAACCTGAGAGACACTGGGTGCTTTAGATTTGGTGAGGAAAACTTTTCAGTGAGTATTCTTGTTTCAAGTAGCACATGTTGAATTCTTGAAATAAAAACTCAAAAAAATAAAAAATAAAAACTCAGCTGATGAAAATAATTCTATTTGTTGATTGTTTTATTTACCTTTTGTTTATTTGTAAGCTACTATTACTGAGGTTTTTAGATATAGTTTCACTCCAGCCTCAAATCTAGTAAAATTCTTCAGGAACACATTCATTTTTCTCTCAGAAATATTATTCCTGGGGTTTTACATTTTAATCTTTACTTTCGTTGATATTCTTGAAATTTTTATCTATTTTCAGAGGCCAAGAAGGAACAGCTTTCCAAAAAGATAAAGAAATCTCATGCTTCTAATGAAGTGGAAGATGATGATAGTGTCTTTGTAAAGCTTCTTAAGACATCAGGACTTATTCTTAAAACAGGAGAGAATCAGAATCAGCTAGGTAAATTTTAATCTAAATGTACCTTTTGGGTTTAGAGAAAAGATTTAGGACTAAGTGGTGCGTTTCCTAACTAAATAGGCAGTGAAGATTGGAAATGAGTGGTCAGGACTGGGAGTCAGGCATGGTATCACAATCTCAGTACTCTGGAAAGCTAAGGCAGGACTGCAGATTTGAACTCAGTCGGGGCAACCTGGAGACGCTGCTTAAAAACTTCAAAAGGCGAAAGGCTGGAGACACAGCTCAGTGCAAAGGCAGTAGTTGGGTTTGATGCCCACTACTGCCAAAAAAAGGAGAAAGGTTTGGGCTGGGGATGTTGCTCCGTGGTAGAGCACTTGCCTGTATTCATGAGGTCTTGGGTTTGAACTCAAGCACAGCCCAAAAAGCAAAAAAAAGCCAAATCAAACATAGCCCTGTACCTGGGCCCTGTGGTGCACACCTCTAGTCCCAACTACTCAGAAAAGCTGAGGCAAGAGGATTGTAGGTTTGAGGTGTGAACCTGAGCAACTTAGTGAAACCCTGTTTCAAAATAAAAAGTTGAAAGGGCTGGAGATGTATCATTGTAGCAGAGGGTCCTAGATTCAATCCCTAGTACTGAAAAGAAAAAAAAAGAGTCCTGTGTTTTGAGACATGAATAAAATTTCTTTTAGAGAATATTGTTATTTTTGATCTTGGGTTCTAATGAAGTGCTTCTAAATGAAGTGCTTCTAATCCTTTTTGTCTTTTCCCCAGTACCAGGAATTGATCTCAGGACCACATACTTGCCAGGCAGGTGTGGTGCCTTTGAACTAAATCTCCAGCCCTCTAACCCATATTTTTTTAGGAAAAAAAAAACAAAAAAAAACAAAGCATAATTGTATTCCTTTTGTTGTTTTGTGAAAAAAATTATTGCTTGGGAAACAATTAAATGTATGTCAGAATAATTTCTTTCTTTCTTTCTTTCTTTCTTTCTTTCTTTCTTTCTTTCTTTCTTTCTTTCTTTTTTTCTTTCTTTTATTTTTAGGTCTTTTTGAGACAGGATCTCACTATGCAGTTCAGACTGGAGTTGAGCTCACTTTGTAGCCCGGGCTGGTCTCGAACTTGCAATGATCGTCCTGCCTCAGCCTCCCGAGTGCTGGGATTATAGGCATGTGCCACCACATCTGGCTGTGTCAGAATAAATTTAAAAGAAACTGTGGAAAGCTTTATAAAGCCAGACGTTATTCTGTCTGAAGGTTATGCTAGGTCTTTTTTTTTTTTTCTTTTCGTCCAGTATTTAGGAGTAAACCCAGAACCTTATACATGCTATGCAAGTACTCCGAACTATATGTCCAGCCCATTTTATATTATTTTATTTTATTCTTTTGTTTGTTTGTTTTGTTTTAGACAGGGTCTTGCTGTATAGTTCAGGCTGGATTTGAACTTACAGTGATCCTCCTGCCTCAGCCTTCACAGTACTGGGATTACTGGTAGGCGCTAGTATGCTTAGCAATTTTTTTTATTAATTTTGTGACAGAATGTTGCTAAGTTGCCTAGCTGGTCTCATAGTAGTGTTCTTCCTGCCTCAGCCACATGAATAGCTGGGATTGTAGGCATATATCCCTATATCTGGCTGGCAGATCTATTTTAGAAAACTTAGTTGCTATCCTCCATCAAAGTTACATCTCTGCAGCTACTCAGGAGGCTGAAGTAGGAGTGTTGCAAGTAACTTAGTGACTTAGTGAGATCCAGTCTCAGAATAGAGAAATAAAAAGGCTGACCAAGTAGCTCACTACATAAGTCTTGGTTTTAACCCCCAGTGCTGGGAAGAAAAAAAAAAGCTAAGTCTTTTAATGTGTTTACAAGTTTTGCCTCTGAAATTAAGTTGAAAATATTTTTAATGCCTTCCTCAGACAAGAAACTTAGGTCTTTAGGGAAGAATATGGTTAGTACGGAGATTTATAGACCATGGTGACCAGTTGTCCTTCTTTCCTTCTAGCTGTGGATCAAGTAGCTTTCCAAAAGAAGCTCTTTCAGTCCCTGAAGAAACATCCTTCTTACCCTAAAGTATGTATTTTCTTTGTGGTATTCTTGCTTTTATTAGCAGCATTTTGGAATTAGGAATTTAAAGACATTGGTATATAGTTGAGTGGGCTAGAATGAATTTAGCTGACAGGAAACATCAAGCCAAAAATCTTACTCTTCTGCTTTCAAATCTCCTTACTAAGGTAATAGAAGAATTTGTCAGTGGCCTGGAGTCTCACATTGAAGACCATGACACCTTTAGGAACTGCCTCTTGTCTTGTGAACGCCTGCAGGATGAGGAATCGAGGAGTGAGGGGAGGTGCGATGTCCCTGGGTTTTAGTCTGTCATAGTGACTGCACTAGGGTGGGAGAAGGTAGATGTTAGCTTTTGAATTATAATTCTCTTTCGTCAGAGTTTAGCCCTTACCTTGAAATTATTAAATTTTATCACTATAAGGCTAAGAACTAGAATGTTTTATAGAATGTGTCTTACTTGTGTTGATATAATTTCAAATCTCCTTTAGTAATAGCTATCTTTTGGTCTTCTGCTTTTTTATCTAACAAGATATTTTATATATAAATTTTTTTGGTACCGGGAATCGAACTTGGGACCTTGCTCTTGCCAGGCAGGCTCTGTGCCACTGAGGTATCTCCCTGGCCCCCAAGCTTATATTATAATGGTTAAAGATTTTGTATTTTACCAGTTTTGTGGAAAATGATGGTTAAAAACATTAAAAAATGAAAAAACAGTGGAAACAAATACCTCTTCTTTACAGCATGGGCACATCCTACTCTAAAAGCCTCATCAAACTGCTGCTGGGGATTGACATATTACAGGTGAGACTATGCCATTGTTTCTGTATATTTGATGGGTGTAATGTATAGTGCCCAGTTTTAAGTGACTAGAGCTCAAGGGTAGAGTAAGGATAATTGCAGGAGCTTTACCACGGCAGTCCTGTGGCTGAGGTGAGTCTGGTTGGGTGATACCTGTGCAGAGAGCCTGGGTCATGTCAACATCCCATTCATTCCCTCAGCAGAGATTCCACTTTATTACACCTGCATTGTCTGGGCTCTGAGAACCTTGTAATCTGGGTCATCTCCCATTTAGCTTTCTACCCACTCATATGATTTGATTTTGCCCTTTTGAGTGGGTGATACATTGACATAGTTTTAAACATTTCAAATTGTACTAACACGTGTATAGTGAACAATTTCCCTCTCAGGCCATACTCCATTTCTCCTCTTTTCCCTTCTTCTTACATTCTTTATCTTTTCCTTTTCATTAAAATCTTGAAAGTTAGTGGCTATAAGTCTGTAGATTCCCTTGTTCATGCTGGAATGAAATTTTCTCCCTTTGAAAACTCTGTGATAATTTTTTAAAGTCTGCATTTCATAGAGTAACAGTTACTATATTTAATAGTATTTTTATTATCTAGTTATTTTCATCTTGCCTTGAAAATAATTTTTAATATTTCAAAAGACAAATTATATTTCAGTAGCTTGTATGAAAAACATACTATCTGTGTAGATATCCTTATCATAAGAGTAAATCAATTATAGCAAGGTCTCTCCTCAAGAACTCAGGCTGGAGAAAATCTGGCTAATTATAAATTTCTGTTGTGTGTTTTGAGATTGTCTCCTAACTCCTTATGTCTTCTTTTTTAGCCTGCCATTATTAAAACTTTATTTGAAAAGTTGCCAGAATTTCTTTTTGTAAAGTAAGTAGATTTATTATGGAATTCTCACAATAACTTCATGTACTGAAATTTCTCCAGAAAACTTGTTCTTTTTTGTTTTTTTTTTTAAAGATAGAGTCTTGCTATGTAGTTCAGAGTGCTTGAACTCACTATGTAGCCGAGGCTGGTCTCAAAGTCGGCAATTCTGTCTCAGCCTCCTGAGTGGAGGGATTACAGGCGTGCACCACGTACCTGGCTGCAAAGTTTATTCTAAAACATCATTGGTTTCTCTGAAGATCATATTTGTTAGGATACCAGATTCTTAAATTACTACTAAAATTATATTGAGGTGTGTTTGACATGTTATGTCTTAATGACTTGGTAAATATTAATAGGCTTTAGCTGGCCCAGTAGCAAACGTCTTATCCTCGTGTGCTGGGAAGCCAAGGCAATCAGTAGGATGACAAATTTAAACGCAGCCTAGGCAGTCTAGGGAATTAGCAAGACCCTGTCTCAAATAATGCTGGGGATGTACGTAGCTCAGTGTAATGGTCCTGGGTTCAATCTGTAGTACCACAATAAATAAATTGAATGAGTAAATGAATATTATTATTATTATCATTGTCATCATTATTATTATCATCATCATCATTCTGAGGCAGGGTCTCACTGTGCAGATCAGACTGGCCTTGAACTCACTTTGTATCCCAGGCTGGCCTTGACCTTGCAGTGATCCTTCTGCCTTAGCCTCCCGAGTGCTGGGATTATAGGCGTGTGCCACTATACCCGACCTAAAATATTATGTACTCTGGTGTGTGTGTGGGTCAATCGTAGAAGGATAGGTTGGTAGATGGTGATAGTGGCTGTTTCAAGGAGGAGAGTCAGTTGGCTGGAGTCAAGGATTATTTAGGTAGTGCTCTTTACCTTTTTTGTTTAAATGTGTATGTATACCATTTTTGTTTTGTTTTGTGAGAAAGTGTCTCAACATGAAATCCTGGCTGGCCTTTAACTCACCGTGTAGTTCAGACTGGCCTCAAATTCGCAGCAATCCTCTTGCCTCAGCCTTGAGTTCTAGGATTATAGGTGTGCGCCACCATACTCAGCATTATCAATTTTTTAAATTGCTGTGTTAGAAATAAATAAGATCTATTAAAAATTAAACAGGTCATGAACAGATTTCATTAGCAGTCAAAGACATTTAAAACAATAAGTGCATTTTTCTCTACTCTCAAAGATCTCCTCTATAAACATGATGAACAGGTGTGCTCAGGCATTGATAGTGAGCATATGAATCATTTCAGTTATTCTGGAAAACAATAGGTTATATTAATCAAAACCTGAGGCTTTGGCCTTGGGATGTACCACAGTGGTAGAACATGGATTTTTGTTTGTTTTGTTTTGTTTTTTACTTTTTAAATACTGGGGATTGAATCTGTAGGTTTTTGGCCAGAGCTATATCCCCAGCCTTTTTTTTTTCTGTCTTTTTGAGATAGGGTCTCGCCATGCAGTTCAAGCTGGCCTTAAGCTCACTTTGTAGCCCAGGCTGGTCTCAAACTTGCACGATCCTCCTGCCTCAGCCTCCTGAGTACTGGGATTACAGGTGTGTACCACCACACCCAGTGCCAGCCTTTTTATTTATTAACATTTTATAAATTTTAAGACAGGATCCCACTAAGTCACTAAGTTGCTCAGGCTGGGCTTGAATTTATAATCTTCCTGTCTCAGCCTCTCAGAGTGCTGGGAGTACAGGCATGTGCCACCATGCCCACTAGTGTGTCCTTTTTATGTGCAACAGGCCCTGGTTTCAGTTCCCAGCACGATAATAATAATAAAAAATTCTTATATTTTGCAGCCCTTTTAATCCTCCATATTATCTGTGTCTTACTAAAGTGTTAGCTAAGTGGAAGACAATGATAAATATTAGGTTTTAAAATAAAACATGTAAATAATTGAGATGTTCAAAATAGGAATTGTCATGTAGACATTAACAATGGACCAATATGACACTGTAATTGAAGAAATTCTTTTTAAAATTTTTTTTTATTATTTATTTTTGGTACCGGGAATCAAACTCAGGACCTTGGCACTTGCCAGGCAGGCACTTGTGCAACTGAGCTATATCCCCCAAGAAATTTTTTTTTTAAATTAATTTTGTTGGTATATTATAGGTATACATAATGACAACATTCATTAGAGGAAGTTTGTATCTGTACATGGTATTTCTTAGTTCTTTTTTCACTGAACTCCTCTCTTCCCTTCAACTCCCTCCCCCTCCTTATTTACAAAAGCTTTGTTTCCATTTTCTTCCTTCTGTTTTTTTTCTTTTGCCTTTCTTCATTTTCCCCTTCCATTTGAATATTGTCTTCCTAGTTGCAAGTATCTGTTACATATTTTGGTCCTTATTTGCCTTTTCAGTTTCTCCCACTAGAGAAACAATGTGATACTTAAACATGTATGTCCTATTTATTTCATTTAAGACTATGGACTCCAGCCAGGCATGATGGTTTGCACCTGTAGTCCCAGTACTGGAGGGGGGCGTGCGCTGAGGCAGGAAGATCTCTGTGAGTTCAAGGCCAGCCTGGCCTGCATAGTGAAACCCTGTCTCAAAAAGACAAAAGAAAAAAAAAAAAACACTAAGGACTCTTTTTTTTTTTTTTTTTTCCTTCCTTTCTCTGCCTGCTCCCTCCCTAGTTCCCCTTCTTTTGAACAGTTTCTTCCTGTTTCACAATATTTCCTCCATATACTTTGCTCCTTATTTACACATTTAGTATCTCGTATCACAGAAATGATGTGATATTTACACATGAGTCCGATTTATTTCAGTTCAGAGTATGTTCTTGAGGTGCATCTGTTTACCTAGAAATGTCTCTAGTGTATCCTTCTTTATGGCTGAGTAGTACTCCATTGTATAAAAAGTTATATCTTTATCCATTCCTCAGTTGATGGGCATTTTGGTTATTTCCAAGATTTAGCTGTTACAAACTGTGCCACTACAAACATGGGTGTGCGTATATCACTGTGGTATGCTTTTAATTATCCCCAGAAGATATCCAGAAGTGGAGACTTAACATTTTGGGGGAAATAATAATAACCGAGCCAACATTTCTTTATCTGTAAGTAATTTTTAATTCTTTTGTGAGCAATCTAATTTGACCATTTCCATAGTTATATGCTTGTCCTTTTGTTTTTTTAGCACTTAGCACATTGATGTAATAGTTTTTTTAAACAGTCTCAGTGCTTTATAGTTTACTGATATTTTATTTTTTAAAAATATTTACATTATTACTGGGAGCTATCTGGCCATGACTTCCCTTTCCTCTAGACCTTCTCTTGTTGTAGCACCGTTAACAGTTCAGTACATGTTTTTCTGGACACCTTTTCCAACACATAGAAGTTTATGTCTACCATTCTTGCTATCAGTTACATGTGTAGCACGTGTCAAATGCAGAGGCGTTGCTCAGTGAGTGTTAATGAATGGCTGAAATACTCTGTGCAGTGTTAATGTTTGCTGCTTTGTCAGTAATACTGGCTCAGTTCTGTACCTAAGGTATAGCACAGTGTGGTGAGTGCCTGTTTAGCTGTATGAAGACCTGGGCTCAATTCCCAGCACCAAAACAAATAAATGAAAAGCAAGGAAAAAAAAGAACCAAGGAATAAAAAAGAAAAAGAAGGGGCTGGGGATGTAGCTCAGCGGCACAGCGCCTGCCTGGCAAGCGCAAGGTTGTGAGTTCGATTCCCGGTACTGGAAAAAAAATTTTAAAAAATAGAAGGAAAAAGAATTAGCTCCTTGTCTTCTCATTCTTCATGTCAGAGTGAACAGCGATGGCATCAACATGCCGCGACTCATTATCAGTCAACTCAAATGGCTCGACAGAGTTGTGGATGGGAAGGTAGGTTGCAGGGCTTCGTCTGTTACTTGAATTTAAAGAGTGTTTTCTATACTTGATCCAGTCTTTAAAATTAAGGGGGATTCTTTCTAAACAACAGTCACGGGCTGGGGATGTAGCTCAGCGGCACAGTGCCTGCCTGGCAAGTGCAAGATTGTGAGTTCGATTCCTGGTATCAAAAAAAAAAAATCACATTTTTCCATCTAGCCATCAACTTCATGGGCTTTCATAATTTTGGGAATCGTGTATTTCACCCTTTAAATTTTTTCAAATAGAAGGTTATTTTTTCAAATAGAAGCTTATGAAATTACAAAGATTAAATATAATTTATTATGTAAATTAAATACTTGGAAAGAAATTCATTAATTTTTCAAAGTGCCGTGGTTGCTATGTTTATCTTTTGTTGTTTTTTTGAGACAGGGTCTCAAAACATATCAGACTGCCCTTGATCTCACTATATAGCTCAGGCTGACTTCAAACTTGCAGTGATCCTCCTGCTCAACCTCCCTAGTAGTGGGATTATGGACTGTGTTTATTTCTTAAAAGTGATATGATTCCGTACAATCTTATTTCACTGCAAATGGTTTAATATGATTATATATTAAGGAAAACTATAGGAAGTTTTCATTATTAATGTGATTTACTTCTTAAACACGTTGGTAAAGTTGGATCTGTTTTGAGCCAAGTGCCTGAGGTCCATTTATTTTCAGGAGTTCTAATTTTGGTAGGCATTTTAAGGTTAAATCTTTACTTGAAAGAATCTTTGAGGATCTAGAGTCTCATTTTGTCTGGAATTTGGGGTCTGCCACTTAACTGTGCATCCTCAAATCGCTTATCCCTACATTTTAAAAATGAGAATGGTCACACAAAGTTCATAGTTCTATAGAGTATATGAACAGTACATATAACAGACCTATTAGATAATATACTGTCCACCCTACTTTTTTCCTATTTTTTATATTGTATGAAATTTTCAAGTCCATTTGTTCTTTAATGTAGGTTTTGAGCTTGACTGTCTCACTGCATGAAAACAAGTTGAGCTGTGCATGTTGTGGCAGATGTTCTCCGTTCTGGGTATTGTGCCGGCGTCCTAATAATGTCATCCACTGCAGGACCTCACCACCAAGATCATGCAGCTGATCAGTGTTGCTCCAGTGTGCTTGCAGCATGACTTCATCACCAGCCTCCCTGAGATCCTTGGGGACTCCCAGCATGCTGATGTGGGAAAAGAACTCAGGTGAGTAAGTGTTCTGGTGCTATGCAGTAAGACTGTGTGTGGACACAGGAATGAGGTTCTTTGTGTATAAACAGAGCATATACTTGCCTCCCATGAGTAGGCTGTGGAATTTGATGTGCATTTCTTTTTGTTTTGTTTTTTTGTTTTTGTTTTTCTTCTGGTACCAGGAGTCAAACTCACGACCTTGCACTTACCAGGCAGGCGCTTTTGCCGCTGAGCTAAATCCCCAGCCCCTGATGTACATTTCTGACAACAGGTTGATATTTGAATAGACCCATCTGCTTTCCTTAAATGATATATCTGTTAGGGAGATAATGTCTGGCTTAAGATTATGCGTATAAATTTGTTTTGTGGAGAACCTAAATACGATCCCTTTGTTGCTTTAGTGTTTTCTCCAAGGGTTCCTGAGTCCTAACTGCACATCAAATCATTTGCAGAGCTTCTTAAACATCTGTATTCTTTGAGTCCCTGTATCACATCTGCTGCTAAGAACCATTGTTGTTGCTCTTCATGTAAAAAACAGTGCTGTGGAGAGTAATTAAGAAAGGGAAACTATCCCTAGAGTATAACTCCAGTCTTTTTTTTTTTTTGAGACAGGGTCTTGCTATGTAGTTCAGGCTGGCCTTGAGCTCACTTTGTAGCCCAGGCTGGTCTTGAACTCTCGATGATCCTCCTGCCTCAGCCTCCCGAGTGCTGGGATTACAGGTGTGTGCCACCACGCCTGTCAATTCCAGTGTTAATGTAACCTTTTACTTGTAGTAAAAGTGGTTTAAAAATTTATTTACTTACTTTTCTGAAGTTCTCTGCAAAGCTGCCACCAAATATGTTGTCTTGGTTACTTTTATTGCTGAGAGAAAAAATAAGACACCCAAATTTAAAGGTGGAAAGGTTTATTGTAGCTCACAGTTTGTAGAGGTTTTAGTTCATAGTTGGCTGCCTACAAGGCAGGGTGGCATGGCAGAGGGGCATCGCAGAGGAGTAACAGTCTGTGGCTGGGCAGGTAAGGCAGAAGGCAGCATTCAGCAAGTGACCAGCAACCACAACAGCCCTCTTTCTGTCTCTTATAATCTCACACCCAGAGAGGGCCTTCACATTATCCACTCTCCCAACTATGCCAAACCAGTGGACTAATTTAGTAATCACATACCCTTGATCCCAGCATCACACACTATATAGGTCCAGCCACTCTCTGAAAATCTCCACCTATGACCACATGAGGCTTTTGTGGAATCATCTAGATACAACCATAACATATGTCTAATAATTTCTGGCTTTTGTGCTTATGTTCTGAATGCACTTATCTGGATAGGCCACAATACCACCACCCACTTTCTCTGCCTGGTGACAGCTTGTCTTTTTCTTAGAATCCATCATGATCATGATCAGTCTCACCGTTCATGTAACTGTTTTGGGTTTTCTTTTTTCCTTTTCTCAAAAAGGCTATATCCCAAACTCAATAGTGGTGATTTCTCTATAGTGAGAATGGTAAAGAGGGGGTTTCTCATTTTTAGTGTATTTGAATTTTTCTAATTAACATTTATGGGCTGCCCAGTGCAGATATAGCTCAGCACTGGAGAGCTTTTCTAGCATGTGTAAGGCTATGCATTCAGCCCCCGTACTACTGAACAATGTGGCCATAATGAACATGTATTACTTTATGTCATAGAGAGAATTCTTAGTGAAGTATAGTATAAATGATAACTTAATATGCATTAAGTACAGTTGGCCTGTGTATCCACAGGTTCCATTCCTTGGATTCAACCAATTACAGATCAAAAATATTGGGAAAAAATACTGCATCCGTACTAACATGTATAGACTTTTTTGTCGTTATTTCCTCTTTTTTTTTTATTATTTCCTAAACAATTCAGTGTGATAACTATTTATATATAACATGTACATTATACATAGTAGGTGTTATAAGTAATCCAGAGGTGATTTAAACCATATAGGAGGATATGTACACCCTGTATGCTATTATGTATAAGAGATTTGAGCCTTCGTGAATTTTGTTCTTGTTTTTTGCGGGGAGGGGTCAGTGTTGACCAGGCCTGCCTGGAACTTGTGAGTTTGAGTGATCCTCCTTGCTCATCCTCCTGAGTAACTGAGGTTACAGGTGTGCACTGCCATGCCTGGTTTCATCTGCAAAACTTGGTATCTATGGGAGTGTCCCAGATGTCCATGGGGGTGCCCCAGAACCAATTCACTGTAGACACTGAGGAACAATTATATCCTCTGTTCGTATACTCTAGTGAGTGACTTTCCTCAAGTCTTTATCTGCCTACCTCTGTTCAAATCATTGAATAACTTTTCTTTTCCATTATTCACAGTGTCCTGTTGGTGGAGAGTACTCAGCTCACTGTCCCTATTCTGGATGTCCTTTCCAGCCTCCAGCTTGACCCTGACGTCCTGTCTAAGGTAGGAAAGGTGCTGCTCTCCAGAAATAGGGCCAGCTTTCTGACTGAGACACTACGTCAGTCACTACTTTGGGAGAAGTCATGTGTACTAAAAATTGTATTTTGAAAATATACTGAGTGACATTTGATTTTTTTGCTTTATTTTCAGTGGACTTTCAGATGCTATACTGTTAGAGATTTGTTGCTCACTAAGCTACATCCCCCACCCTTTTTATTTTTAATTTTGAGATAAAGTCTCTGTAGGCTGCCCAGTGAGGATCAAATTCCTGCTTCAGCCTCATCAGTAGCTGGGATTACAGGTGGGCACCACCACATCTGGCCACTCGTCTGTTTTGGTTTTGGGGTTTTTTCTTTTTCTTTTTCTTTTTTTTTTTTTTTAGGCAGAGTCTTGCTGTGTAGTCCAGGCTAACCTTGAACTTGAAGACATCCTCCTGCCTCAGCCTCCCAAGTGCTGGGATTACAGGCGCACGCCGCCACACCTGGCCTTGGTCTGTTTTTAAGTAAAGTATTTTACTGGAGATTTTTTATATTGCCTGAATATTTATTGGCCCCTATAGGGATAGCACTTTTTCATGCCTTCATATAGTCAGTTGCAAATCGGGACTCCAAAATCAAGCACAATAACACTGTTTCATTTTTATCATCTGTTTGTAAAGAAGTTTTGGTATTAACAATTGAAATTTGTAATTTGAGGCAAAACAAAAGATGCTTTTCTTCCTAAGTTATAGGTTTTTCTAATTTTACCTAGCATGACTGGGTTGAGTAGTGACAGTGGAGATTTAAAGCTTTTGTGCTTTTTATTTTTAGGTCCGCCAGTTGGCAATGGGTAAACTGGACTCAGTCAAACTGGATGATTTGCCTGTGATAATCAAGTTCATTCTTCATTCCATAACAGCCACTAATGCATTTGAGGTATGCTATCATTAACTACCAGGCTACCCCATGTGATGGTGATCGCCTGTAATTCCAGCATTCTGGGAACCTGAGGCAGGAGTATCACAGGTTCAAACTCAGCCTGGACATCGTAGCAATTTAGTGAGAACCTGTCTCAGAATTTTAAAAGGGTTGCTGAGGTAGTTTACTGTGAAGATCCTGGGTTCCATCCACAGTACCACAAAAAACAAAAACAAAAAAAAGCTCCAGACTTAGATAAAGATACATCAGGATAAATTATTTAAATTAATAGATGAAAATTGCTCTCTCTGGGTGTGATGGCACATACCTGTAATTGCAGGACTTGGGAGGCTGAGGCATGAGGTTTGCCACAAGTTTAAGGCCAGCCTGGGCTACATAGTGAGACCCTTTCTCAACAAACCAAAGGGGGAATAACTGTTCTTCTCTGGCCCCAAACAAATTAGTAATGTTGATCAATGCAGGTAGCATTCAGGGAAGGCAGTGGTACTGCTAGTCAAATTGCTTAATCTTTATAAGCTGCTATAGGTTATATTTGCTAATGCTATAGAATAGGCCCTCAATGATAGTAGAATTGGGGGTATGACATACTTACCTTAATTATTTGCATTGACTGCCTTTCAGAATGTTTTGTCCAATATTTAAGTTGGACATTTCAGTCTTTCAGCAGTTGTTGTGGTTCTATTGAGGAAATAAACTCTGTCCATCCACTAAGCATAGTACAACACATGGTGAGTACTTACTTCCTGTAGGTAATTTCTGAGCTTCGAGGAAAGTTGGATTTGCAGCATTTTATTTTGCCATCATTGTTACACGCTTCACAAATCCAGTCAAAAAGAAAAGGAGGAGCAAGGTATGAAGCTCTTTGGCAATTGCCATTCTTTTTCTTGCGTAAAATGGAAGAATTTTCTGAAATTTATCCTAAGTTACTTAGAGCTTAATACATCTACAAATAATGGTTGTAAATAGTACATTCACATACAATATGGTTTTTTAACATTGTGTGTGTGTGTATCTGTGTGTGTGTGTGTGTGTGTGTGTGTGTGTGTGTGTGAGAGCCGTTCAGATCAATCCCAGATACATGTAGTATAAGCTTTTTAGCCGAGGTTGTGACTTGCTCCAGGTGCATGGCTAATAAGCAGGAACCCAGATATTGTAAGTTCTCTGATAAGTAGGATAAATAATTTTTCCCCTTTTTGCTACTTGTAGTTCTTCAGGAAATCAAAAAAGTAACGATCCGGACTGTGTCACCCTCATCTTTGATGTAATAAAGTCAGCAGTTAGATATGAGAAAACCATATCAGAAGCTTGGGTTAAGGTGAGTTCGAGCTGGGTATGATGGTACATGCTAGTAACACCACCATTCTGGAGGCTGAGGCAGGAGGGTTGAGAATTAAAGGTCAATGTGGGCTACAGTGTCAGGCTCTTTCTCAAAAAAAAACGTTGGATCCTTGAAATGTAGAACATTAAGGAGGAAAGGGGTGTCCGTCCGGGACAGCAGGGAGGAGGGTTAAGATGAGTCTGGAAGCCACTCAGCAGAAGTCCTGGTGACAGGCAGGTGGGCTCCCCCCCGGGGAGCAGGGCATGCCTGGGGCGTGGGGGGAACTGGGCCTCAAGCTGAGGTGTCCTAATACTGCTGTGATCCTTGTTTTTCCAGGCAGTCGAAACCACTGTCTCGGGATCTGATCACTCGGTAATGTTCTTGTGCTCTGAGTTTTAAGTATTAGAGCCAGGGCTGTGGTTAGCTTGCTCTTCTGCTCCATCTCTGTCTGCTTCCAGTCTTTCTTCTATTCCTCTGTAGGTGCTCTAATAAACGTCAACTACCAAACCAGTTGAAGTGAGGGGTAACTTGCCAAATCATCTACTTTTCCTCATTAATACTGGCAAAAAAGAAAGCCTGCAGCATCAGGAAGGGGCTGTGCATATTCCAGACAAACATATTATACTGCAGTAGAGAAACAGCATCTCCATGGGGCCTGCATCACTGGTTTCCCTTCCTCCCAGAGCTGTTAGCGCAGCCATGCTCTGTGGTGCACTTTATTTGCCTATGTGCACCTGGCCAGAGGAGCTGAGTCTCTCCACTGTTCAGCTACTCTGTTTCTCTTAATTCCACAAATAAGAGTTGAGAGGCCAGATTGGTTAAGTTATTGTATACTGATTAGTTCCCACTAAAAATTTTTCTTTAGTTGGAGTCTGTTTCTTAAAATTTTTGTTGGGGCTGGGGATTTAGCTCAGTGGCAAAAGCGCCTGCCTGGCAAGCGCAAGGTCGTGAGTTCGGTTCCCGGTACTGGAGAAAAAACAAAAAACAAACAAACAAACAAAAAACAAATAAAATTTTTGTTAGTTGGGCTGTCTGATTGTTGGATGATTATCTTAAACAATTTTATGTTATGGAATAAAAAAGTGTTTGAATAATTTTTGTGGGGGAAAATAATCAGAATACCCTGCTTTTGTCTTTGCACAAAAATAAATTGGCTACCTGTCTTTATTCCTACTTTTACAGATTTGTAATAATTGTAAAAATAAAATTTTGTATTCTTATTTTTCTCTTTACATTTTTTTCTCCTGTTATACAATTTCACATGCTTCCTTATTGTCTCCCAGGCCTTCCACTTCCTGGGATGGAACCCAGAGCTTGCATATTTTTAGCAAGCACTCTTCCCCCTCTGTCAACCCCACCATTAATGGCTCAAGTAGACCCGTTTCAATATAAGAAATAAAGAGCCAGGGTTGTAGTTCAGTGCAGAGGCCCTGGGTTTGATCGCTAGCACCACAAAAGAGATAGTTTGTTTCTTTTTTGTGGCTGTATACTATTCCAAAACAATCCTATCATAATTTAACCTTTTCTGTGTTGATGAATGTTTAGAGTTTTTTCAGCTTTTCATAAAGCAATTTTCCTAATAATAGAGAAAATATATACTGAACTTGGTATGTGATTTAATCTTTTGATAAATGAAGATGTTTAAAGTAACTCTTATACTATTACTTTCACTTATATTCCATTGCTTTCTCAAATACAAGTAATGAATAGTTGTAGCACTTTATTTCTCTGGAAAATAGTTGTGGCTTTTGTGGGAAATGTAGGTAATCCCATGGGAATGTGTGGAGCACATGACTCATTTCTGTGTTCTAATGGGAGTAAATTGAGAACTGCTGTTTTGTTACAGAAAATCTACTGATGTTTTAAATTATTCTTTATATCCGTACAACAGACTCTTGACGTGGTGATGCTCTTCATCATCTATGGCACCAACCCTCAGACAAAGAAGTACATTGAGCGGGTGCTGAGAAGTAAGATTCGCTCAGGCTGCTTTGATCAACAGTTGCTGGAGGCCACCTTCTGTGTTCACTTCATGGTAATGTTTGGGAGGCACCAGTGTGGCTATGAAAGATGGGGGTGATTTTAACCTTTTTGGTCCATGTGGAAATCCGGAGAGTCTTTTTGCCGACTGCTCATCTTTGACAAGGAGTCAGGGTGTTTCACACTTAGACACACAAGCTTCAATATTGCTTACATGTCGATTTCTTACTTGGCTTGATTCTGGAATTATGATGTTAGTAACCAAACTAAGATTGATTTTCACATTTTTGGGAAAAAGTTCATGGAATTGGCTTATGATGGAACCCATATCCTTCACATTTACTGCATCCTCACTCCTTTTTGTGTTTTCTTTTGAGATCAGGTCCCACTGAGTTGCCAGGTCACCCAGGCTGGGCTCAGACTCTCCATCTCCTGCCTCAGCCTCTCAACTCCTGGGATGACCTGCGCCACCATACTGGCTCCGTAACACTTCTTAATTTCTTTCTTCATCCTCTTCTTTCCCCTTCACTCCCATCTTTTCATCTCTTTGCCATTTGAGAAAGGTCTATCCCCTTACTTCCTATTACCTATTATTTTGCTCTTTATGTATAATTTGGGCTGGTAGTATAAGAGAAAGCCTGTGATATTTAAGCTTGTGTACTTGGTTTATTTCATTTAACATGGTTTCAAGGTGCATCCATTTTCCTACAAATGATCGACTTTAGTTTTTCATTAGGCAGAGTAGTACCCCCTTGTGCGTAATCTTTATCCACTCATCTGTTGCTGAATATATAAGCTGCTTCCAAGATTTAGCTATTACACACTTTGCTGCTATCAACATGGATGTGCATGTATCACTGTAATGTGATGTCTTCAACTCTGTCTGCAACATACCTAGGAGGGGAAGAGCTGGGTCAAATGGAATTTCTAATTTTAGACTTGAGGACTCTCCTCTCATTTCCACAGTGGTTGCACTAGTTTTACATTCTTACCAACAGTGTAAAAGGTTCCTTTTCCCCCCGCAGCCACCCCAGCA